CTATGAAGTTTGCACGTTTCTTAGCATTCAGGCGAGAGTGATGTGCATGGAAAGGTCTACAGAGTCGTCATCAGTTGCTGTTTGAGGGGAAGAAACATTTACGCTTATGAAAACGTGTTGCTCAGATTAAAGGGACGTTTTGTTACAAACTGGGTATTTAATTTAATAATCAGATTAATCATTATTTATCAATTATTGAAATAATTGTCAACTAATTTAGTAATTGATTAATCATTAACTGGAGTATAGAGACTGTAAAACACGCCTTTAGCTGACAGAGCGACCCCCTTGGAGCTGTAACTATACCTTGATTGTAAAAAAATATATAAATATTTTGCATTAAAGATAAAAAATAAAAAATTCATCCATCAATATGCTCTATCCAGAACGCCTCAAGTGGGAAAGTTTTTGTTTCGCCTGGTTTGATTTCTTCAAAAGTCTTCTTTAAGGAACCTTTTGCTGTCCAATTATTAATCGAATAAATAATTGACAGATTAAACCATTTTCAAAATAATTGTTAGTTGCAGCCCTAACAAAAATCAAGTTTTGCTTTATTAAATTACATATTCGGTGAAAGGCTTATAACATCACATAACACCAATCCAAAATTCTGCATATGCACCATATATTTTTTTTAATGCTCTGAAGTTCCATATCAATGCTTTTTGCACCCTGCACACTCTGTGTACATTTGATCACTGCTGCACTTTATGGAATGGAAATATTGTGTATACAAAATGGCAGTAAAAGTTGTCTAAGTCTAAGTTGAACTGGACTCTGAAACATAACATGCACATAAAGATGCCTTAGGGCTGAAAAAAAATCAATCAGTTTAACTAATTTAGTAATTGAACAGTTTACTGAAGTTTACAGACCCTGAAACATGCCAAATAATTGATTGAACACCAATTCAGATCACAAATGAAGACAAAACTACATTGATTAATTGATTTGATTTGATTTGATTAAGATTGAAAAAACATATTTAATCTATAAATACATCATGCTCTATCCAGAACTCTTCCTGTAGCCTGAGTATTGAACTGAGACTGTCCTATATCTTTCTTTAGCCACCAACAATCCATTTAAAGTGTTTTACTTTTTACTTTAAATGCTTGTTTGTTTTATATATTTTTAGAATAATTAATCTAAAAAAAGAAAAATTGCTTGATTAATTAATTACCTAATTATTTAATCAACTGCTTCTTCCCTGAACTGGCAGAACTTCAGCTACCACTAAGTTGGATAAATAGCTTTAATTATCTGATGAGGTGAAGTACTGAGAAACTAGCAGTCCTGCAGGGACTTGGTGAGCTTGGTGGTTAACAAAACCTGAGCAGGGGTGAAGTCCAGATCCTGACCATTTTTAAGGTATAAATAAAGTCTCCTTTATTGTATTCTATGGAAGAAAGTGAGGTTATGATCGTGCAAATATTCTTGTTTTGTTTTACAGAGGAGTTGCTCACAACTCTGGCTGCAGGGTGCAGATTGTGGTCAACTTGGGGAAACAAGTGCAGTATGACCATTTTCCAGAGGCCAATAAATGATAAGATAAGGAATCAGCCTTAGTCATTTAATGGGTTTGTCCTAAATTGTTGCATTATTCTCCAAATCACGTTTTTCCTAACAGGAGAAAATCTGTTTAAACTCTTGCAGTCTCCTTGATCTTTGTATCTTAGCTTAATCTTTCATCCCTATCATCAGAATGAGCTGATTCTGGTTGTTCTTTAGATGCATCTGTAAGATGGATTCACTGCTGCATGTGACGAGGAGTGAAGTGTGATTCGTCCCTCACGTTTTGTCCGGAAATTATTATCGATCATCCACATGCTCCACCAGTGTGCTGCGAGTGTGTGTGTGCGTGTTTTGCACATCTCTATTTGAGGAATGCTTTCATCTGAAAGGGCATAATGTGTTGTGTGTCTCAGGAGAAACAGGTGGGTGGGGGTGTGTCATGCACAAATGTTCTGGGTTATTTTCTCCGCAGCCTTTCTCTGACTTGTTTTTTTTTTTTTTTCATAACTTCTCATCATTCAGCGAGTCACGCAGCAGCAAACAGGGAACATTGTTTGTGATTAATGACAGAGCGGGAACAAAAGTGATGTCCCCAGATGAAAAAATTACAGCTGTTAGAGGGAGGCTCTCAAACTTTCATTTCTTCCACTGTCTTCTGGAGATAAAGATGACATTTATAGAAGGCTCAGATTTAGCTGAGCTGTGTCCTGTTTTCACTGAACATTGTTTTTTTTTTTTTGTAAACGGAATAAATTGTTTTTGTTCAAAAAACATAAATAAATCAGTTTTTGGTCTGATTACACAAGCAGAGGAAGAATATATATATATTTTTAACAGGATTTAATTAAAAGACTCGGATGAAGCTGGTCATGTAAAGGGTCAGGATTTGGATATCTGTTTTACAAAATCGTCCCCTGGAGAATATGGTGTTAAAACAAAGATGAAAAGCTGTTATGTGTGTTGGGAATGTGCTATAGAAGCTGCAACAGTAATGGAAAAGTAATATATTTAACTGCGTCCCCTATAGAATACTTAACATGCAGCGACTTGAAGGTCCCCTGTTGCATGATTTCCAGCTCTATTAATGTGCCACTACTAATTCAACTTTACTAGACATCTTTCCACCTTGCTTTGCAGCTTCATCGACTAATGTTTAAGGGAAAAAAAGCTCTTAATTTCATGATTTCTCAATCAGCTTGAAACCCTCTTTTTATTTGTACAATAAGTAAATTCAATTTCAATTCAGTTTATTTATATCGCGCTAATTCACAACAAATTTCATCTCGAGGCACTTTATACATAAACTAGGTCATAATCAAACTGATTCAAAGTTTTCTATCTAAGAAAAACAAGTTGATTGCATCGACTCATTGACTCAAAGGCAATCTTTCACACCAAGCATGCTTGTGGTGA